CTCCAGTGAAGCCAAGAAAACCAGTTAGGCACCCTAGGCATTTGTGAAAATTTGTCTATGATATGATGGATATTGTCCAACTATACTTGAACAGTCTGAGAGAAATCAGACAAATTAAAGCAACCCATTTCTGGGATCTGTTCACATCCCATATGTTCTTTTAACCGTAGATAGTCTATAGTCGTAAGATTTTGGAGCGCTACAACTTGCACCCCTCCCAACTAAGATTTTATTTTTTATTTTGCTGTTTTAAGTTTTCTTTGCTCAGCCTGTTTTCCTGTCACAGTTTGTTAGACACTGTGCTTATTTATCAGACCACTAGAAGTCAGCTTCCTATTTGACAACTACTGTAGAAAGCTTGGTTGTTTCCACTTGTACCTTTGGTTAGCATTATCTCCTTTTCCCCCCTTTCTCCAAATAGTAGTGATTCAAATAACTCTGCTTATCTCTCACTCTTTACCCCAGGACAGTTTACCTCTTATTTACTTATTTATTTATTTTTATTTGACATTTAGCACTATATTTCAAGTGTACAACATAATGATTCAATATTTGTATATATTGAAATGATTATATGTCTAGTTAATCTTACATAGTTACAAATGTTTTTTTTTCTTGTGACAAGGACTTTAAAGATCTACATTCTTAGCAGCTTTCAAATATGCAGTACAGTGTTTACTATTGTCACCATGCTATACATTATATCCCCATGACTTACTTATTTTATAACTAGAAGTTTGTACCTTTTGACCCCCTTCACCCATTTTGCTCCCCCCTCCAACTTTCTGATCTGGCAACCACACATGTATTCTCTGTAGCTGTGAGCTTGGTTTTGTTGTTTGTTTTTACACAATTCCGCATAAAAGTGAGATCATATGGTACTTGTCTTTCTTTGATTTACTTCACTTGTGTGTCCATCCCTGTTGTTGCAAATGGCAAGTTTTTATCCTTTTTTTCTGAATAATATTCTGTTGTATATATATGTATACACCACGTTTTCTTACCCACTGATGGACAATTAGGTTGTTTCCATTTCTTGAATATTGTAAATAATGCTGCAGTGAACATGGGGGCGTACATACATCTTTTTGAGTTAGTGTTTTTATTTCTTCATGTAAATATCCTCAAGTGAATTTTGGGATCTTGTGGTAATTTTATTTTTAATTTTTTGAGGACAGTTATCTCCTTCTGACTGCTTTTGTCCAAGGCCAAGTAAGTGTTTTGTTGCAAGTATATGATGATGTAAGTCCAAACCAGGGGTTTCAGGTGGGTTTTCTCTTGGGTGTAAATTTTGCCCAGCTTTTGAGGGCAGCCTAGGAAGCTGTGAAGACGAGAATTCTAGGACCAGATTTTGACGTTGGGGAAAAAGATGTTCATGTTTGATTATTATTATGAGCCATTAACCCAGGATAATAGTGTGTGGGCATGCAAGCCAGATTTCTAGTGTTTGTATTTGTATTTGTATTCTAGACTATTACAAGGCAGGAAATCACAGAATAAATGTTGAAAGCAGCTTTGGAAACATTGGTTTTCCTTGTTTCCTTACTCTTATTCCATCCTACTTCAGAATAAATTATTCTTGATGTAGAATTCTTTCATGAATTTCTAGTCTGGATAGTCCTCATCATAAAATAAACTTTAAACATTTTTTTCTGAATTTCTGAATATTTTTTTTCCTCTTGCTCCTTACTCAGCAGTTTTCTCTTAGACCTTGGGAGCTCTTGTGTGGTAATTCCCTGGAACTCCAAGATAATGTAGGGGAACAAATATTGAGTGTCTACCATGCTTTTAAATGTTCTTTCTTAATCCACCAACAAATAAAAAATCCCTAAACCGTGCACAATAGGTATCTCCATTTTGTGGACAAAGACATTTAATTTCAGAGGTTAACTGTCTTGCCCATAATCACACCGGATGACTGGTGGAGCCAAGATTTAAACCCAGCTCCTTGATCTTAAACCCAGCATTCTTTCCCTTCACCAGGCTCTTTGAAGGAGGAGCAGTCATCCTGCAAAAGTACTGACTGCCCACCCCTCTCCCACTCAGTTGTACATGTCTCCTCAGTTCTCCACATTGGTCCTGTTGGCTCACACAACTGCAGGACCTAGCTTCTGTGCCTCCTGGATCCTGGACATCTCATTGAC